TAAAAGCAATCGAATTGGCCTCTCCTCAAGGTCAGTTCTGCAGCTAGCAATTGATGGTACATTAGAAATAATTTCTGTATTTTTTATATGTAATGTTTTGTGTGTTCAGATAGCTCAGCCTCTTGTCCTGTCCTGTTTGATTATGGGTGAGCAGTAATACATGAAGCTGACTACTTACCTTCATCTTGCGTCAGTGACTAGAATGTGTACTTATTTACCTCTGTGCTCCTGGACATAGGCAACTTGCATTTTTCTTAAAGATCTGCCAGTCTTGAATCAGAGCAGATTTCATTCAAGGAACAAACTGTAGCAATATGTAAATTTTTATTTGAGATTTGCGCTGTAGCCGCATGGTCTGAGGCATCATGCTTCGGACCGGTGATACGGAATGCGCGCTGGTTCGAGTCTCGGGGAAAGAAATTTCTCACGAGATTTTTGACCAATACATGGGGCCGATGCCAATTGGGGAGCTACAATGAGTAGCGTAATCCGGTCATGAAAACTAGCAATGGCTGGGGGTTCGTCGTGCTGACCACACGTCACCCTATATCTGGTTGGATGATTGTTCACCTCTACTTAGGCATGTGAGCGTGAGGCTAGCAGTCAAGCTAGTTGGCTTTGGATCTCAGAGGGCTGTTACGCAACGGATTATTAATATTAGATTTTGGAGTTCCATGTAGTCATGCAGTTGGTGATATAAATTTTGGAGAAACCTGACAACACCATGTCTCAAGCCAAAATATATGCAAATATTTTACAGCTCTGAACTCATTTCTGGTATCTTTTCCCACCTGTTTCAGACATGTATTGTTTTCTCCTGGAGGGTCTGTAAATCTGAACAGAACAGCAGGATTTGGAACTCTGCAAGACTTGCTGGATAACTTGGTGTCCTCCCCAGTTCCAGATTTTGTACGAACCAAAGTAGAAGATCACCTACAGTCTCTTATACACTGCATAATAAGTGCTGCTCTTGGTTTGCGTATTCCACTTTATCTTCCGGTATTATAAGCATTGTGACTGGCTGTGGCGAGTCATACTGTCTAGTTCTTGTCATTTCACATGACATTTCCTCAAGACAGATGTAAAAGATGTAGGAAATTAAATACTCTTTTGTTTTATTGACTCTTGTGTAATTACTTCACTGCGTTTCAGTGACATAGTTTGTTATGTTACACATGCCAGTAAATATGAAGTTATAAAATACACATACTTCTCAGGCAAGCAACCTATTGCACTCATAGGTGAGCCATTTTATCCAGAAATTTAATATAAATTAACAAATGTATAATATTTGTGGTAAGTGAAACATTGCCTTTCAACATATGTTTGAAAGGTGGTCAATTCTCACATTTTGTTACTAGTATTACTTTTTTCAAATAATCTAGTCAATAAAAATTTAATGTGTAATGTGTGCATTATTTTACATTGTAACATCCTTAAGGCAACAGAATTCATTTACTAGTTCTAATGAATTTACTGGTGTCTCACACATGCATAAAATGCAGCATTGTTAAAGCACGTCCGAGGTCAGTTTCAACGTTTGTCTCATGGATCATAAGTTTTATGTCTTCTAGACACTCATCATTATATGATAGGGAAGTCATATCTGTCCATTCATAATTTTCATCTTTTAAACTCTTGAACAGATTTTGAGAAGTAATATTAGAGGTCTTTAAAAATACAGCATTTTCTCCAAAACAACCTGTCATGCATTACATAATATCAAGTTCTGTAACTTGTATTTCAATTTGTGTTTAATAAGCCATAATAATAATAGTTATGATCTCTAATTTGTGCAACATTTTTATTGGAAAACCTGGAGAGAGAGAGCTCAAAGGCGGTGAGAAGATAATGTAATGGTTAAGCAAACAGGATGTATGAATTGGAAATGGCTAAGGACGAACATAGTAATGAACCGTCAGGTTTTATGACAGGTGAGGAATTTCTTAATGTAAGTCCAGTAACAGACTGAACTTTCATGTGTCCGTTGTCAATCAATGCCTATTTATTACTTGATTTGGCAGTTAGAGTTAGCTATCGTATATTGCAGCATTCGTGAAATTTCCGGAGGGGATGCAGTTCAGCGGAACTTGTAAATAAATTTTCAAATATATTTAAGGTTAAGAATTCTCACAGAGTGAAAAGCATGTTGATCCCGAAGTATAAAAAACACTGATTATAAAACTTCTTATCGACTGAGTTAAGCTGTGGGCACTGGCAGTGCTGATAGTTTCTTTTCCTGAAAGATGGGAGCACCTTAAAATCTCGACTATTAGCAAATTAATGGTCAAATGTCACTGCTCGTAGATACGTAATTACGAATTGTAGTTCATGCTATCATCTCTGCGTAAGAACATCGATATTTGTCAGGAATGTTAGAATAGTAATGTCGACGGTTAAGATGTTCAGATATCTGAATATGAATTGTGATTTGTAAATGTTTTTGTTTTCGTAGTGATGCCTGGTTGTACTGCTCCTAATTGTACAAACAGTTCCCAGAAGGGATTCAAATTATATCATTTTCCGAGTGACAGAGAAAGGAGTTCCGTTTGGGTTCACAATTTAGGGAGGGAGCGCGGTTGGACACCTACTAAACACACGTGTGTCTGCGAAGTAAGTTCGAAAGAATGCTAAGCAGTTCTGTAGAATGAATTTAATAAACATTGCACAAATTGTAATTTGCATTGCACATAAATCGACAGTGAATTATTTTGGTTTTCATGTTTGATCAAAGTCGAATCTGCCGTCCTGAACAAACAGAACACGACGATAATGTGTATGGAAATATTACATGCATACCTGCGTTTTGATTCTCGAGAATTTCTGACTGAAAATAGTTTTAATTATGGCACAGTGTGTACGTTGATCAGTTTATGACAGTACTTACGAAAGACCAATAGTGCTTCAATTTTATTTTTAACAAACATAAAGAGGGACTCCAACCTGTTGGATATGCGTTACACGTGTGAAAACGTGCTTAGCAAATAGATATATGCAGACAACACTGAAACTGGAACCGAAACATATTAGAATAATTTGTACAGCTCTTTTTAAATGGCAGTGTTTGAGGTGGGTGTAATGCAGTTTTTGACCAAGATTCTTACTTGCATTTTTGGCTTCCCAACAGAACTACATATTCAGCCGATGTCCACCTTGTTTTCTTTATTGCAACAGTAATACGTGCAAAAAAACTCGTGAAGTTAACCATGTAGTACCCTAAATTTGCCACCTGCTTAATTTTTTTCTCTCCAAATATTCACCTCAAAACTGTGTTTTAAAACATTTGTAATTTATGAACTTCAAAGTAATGAGCCATGTTTCATACCCACCACAACAGCTTGTAAAATTTTTGTTTTGATTTTCACCATTTTGGAAAGTAAATAGGTTTAATAACAGTTTTTAAATGAATAACTATAATCATTTCCAGAATTTATTATTCTCCTAATTTTAACATGAACCTATTTACATTTCTTAGTGTTATTCTCAGACAGGTTATTAAACATATATTTATTTAATGACTTGTTGACTTTGATTTTATGTGATGTTAAAAAACTTATATTGTTTATTTTAGGTACACTTTGAAGAATCACAGTTTGAATCTCATCGAGCAGATGGGTTGAGAAAGTTGAAGCCCAATGCGGTTCCCACCATTTTCAACAAAGTCGCACCTCTTCGAACATACACTAAAAGACCAAAAAAGAAAACCAAGAACAATAAATTTAGTGTAAGTAGTAAATAAGCTTTATATTAGTACAGACTATTTTCACATTCAGGACACAAAGTGTCAGTGGCATTTTTATATTCTTTTGCCAAAAATGTAATTTTAATTCTCTTAACAATCTAGCATCCATACTTTTTGTGTGTAGTTATTTGACGTAACATGCCATCTCACCAATATTGCCAGGTTCCGCACAAAAACATCAATGCATCCATTCTATATCTTCCTTGTGAAATATTACTGTTTATGTTAAAACATTTTAATTTGTTTCAGTCTGTGGCCAAAGAGAATGAAATATGTCCAGCAATTTCAGATACAGAGTTTAATATAACCAGTCAACAGAAGGAAACAGATGAAGGGGAAAGTGCAAAAAGGAACAGTGATGAATGTATACAGGGAGAAGATGAAGGTTTTAAGGTGTGTTTGATGCTCTAATAGTTCCCTCAAAAGAGTATATTCCCAATCTTGGCCATTTCAGCATTTGTGACAATCCCGATGTGTCGGTTGGCTTTACGAAACCTCGGCGGTCAGTTTAGATAATGAAGCTTTGCCTGAAGTTCTTCATGATTTTCTTCAGGTTGTTGCTTTGATAATATCTTAAAATTGACCACAACTTCTTTCTCAGTTTGTTCATAATCTATTATCACTAAGGAACTCATATTTTTTTCCTAAGACTACGTCAATTCTGTGTAATATGAAGGAAAAAATTAAGTTATTATGTAATGTTCCGTCACTGTCATTATATTTGTGTATGCATAATTTGTAAATAACTGGCAATGATCGAGTGGATTTTCCTTGTTTATGAAGTGTAAACAATGAGATGGCTTAATAATTTTATTTTCTCATCATCATCTTAAAACTACAGGTACTTTTGAATGTGTCTGTACCGTCACAATGTGTCACTGACACAAAGTCATCTGAAAGAGGCAGGAAACAAGGGCCGCCTGTAAGTAGACACAAAAGAAGGAAAGGTGTTTGTGAATGGAATCCTGAAAAATCCAGAACCATTTCGGGAAGAAAACGTGGCAGGCCTCTAGGCTCTGGCAGCAGCTCACGGGCGTCGCTGCCGTCACCTGTTAGGAAGTCGGTCAAAGTTTCTCTTAGAGACAAAGACCATTTGCCAGATAAAGGAACAGTGGATGAGGTTAGTACCTGAACGTGCCATTCTAGACGAGCAGTCAAAAGTCTTTTGTAGAAAAATGTGGGAGCGCTTACGGAGAATGTAAACACTCATATGCCGTAAATGCTTGTACCACGGTTATGTAACGAAGCTTGATCGCTGGTTTCTTGCTTTTTCTACCCCCAACCCCCACCCAAATTAAAAACCAGATACAGTTTTAGAACCGTTAAAGAAGAGAACTGCACAAAGGGTAAATACAATTCAGTTATGTCGGTGTTTGTCTTCTGGGTTGTAATGCAATGTGGACTTGTAGGTATTAACCTGCAACCTAACCTTGAACGTCTAAGTTCTGATACGAGAGAATTACTGATTTGTGATAAAATGGAATAAATACAAATTAATTTAAATTATGTGTGTGTGTGTGTGTGCAGGACTGCCCCGCTTCCGAAGATAAAACTGCGGAAGAGAGAGGTGGAGAACAGATCGAATGTTTTGTGTGTCGCAAGAATGTGGACAACGGCGTATCGATGCACACGTTAACCAATACGACCAAGGTTTATATGCATCACAAGTTGGATAAAATAGTGAGAGGAGAAATTGAGCTCCTGATCGAAGAAGAAAGCGTTCTCTGCACTCGGTGTGCTAGTCTCCTGAACTACATGGACCGCATAGAAGTGGAATTAAACATGCTCACCAAAGTTATTCTTGACTGCATTTATAAGAAATATGGAATGGGAGGAGTGGCTGTTGACAAGGGACACGAAAACTTGCTTCCAGATGTCGAGCAGCGTGAGCAAGACTGCGCCGGTAAGTATCAGGGGATTGCGCCGGTGGTCATGAACAGATTCTTTTTGGCTTTCGCCTTTGATGATTACTTTTTCATTCTAAGGGAAGAATGTAGGTTGAGGGTGAGATTGACTGTACATTAGCATGTGTATGGGAAATGAGAAGAAATTAATTCAATGTTCTGTTCTTTTATGTTAACATTTGTTTTATATTTATTTCTATTTGCGGCACTAAATTGTGAAAAAAAATCAGTAAAATTAAACCATAAGAAACAGTTGAAAACCAGAAGGGAAGAGTCCACTTAGGAGACCTAGTTTTAGATGGGAGGAAATATTACATTGGAATATGAATATTTAGACTTAATTCAACTTATTCTGGAAAGGGTCTTGTGGTTACTGTAAGGTACAGCTACCTCTTATTCTTCTTTTATGGCTCTGCGGTCCGTATTCGGTCCATGGCCTCCTAAATTCTCCTCTTCCATTCGGTCCTCTGTTAGGTCCGTCTGTCCGAGGCTTTGATCGAGGTTTCGAAACATATTCCTTTTATGGTGCAAGGTTGTTAGCCTTGCAACCAACCCCCAACCTGGAGGACCAGGGTACCTATCTTAGTCTGACCTCTCCCTCTCGACCAATCTGGCTAGGGAGGCCATACCAGTAACTATGATACCGCCAGCATAGCTCTTGGGATCACCACCATGACAAGGTGCAGGTACCATTAAGTGGGGACAGCTACCTCTTATGATTTGTTGAACGTACGTAGATCACTCGTCACATATTTCTTTGCCACTTAATACTGCCAGGTGTTATTGTACTGCTAAGAATGGCTGGATTGACAAGTAAGCTGGCAACATGGTACCTGCGAGCGAACATATTGATGCTGTGTCGTGCACTATATCAGTATTTTATTGATTGTCTGATTCAGGTTATCCGTTTTAATTACCCTGTGTTGTTGTGTTTATTTAATGTGAATTTTGTAATTTTCTTCTAGATAATGCGATGAACCTGGATTTGCAGCAAAGTTTAAGGGATGAAAGTAGTAGTCAGATGAGGGAGAATGAAGATGGTATCAGGAATGGTTTTCCAAATGACAGTGCTATTAATGAAAAATGTGAATCGTCACCTTTGGAGGAAATGCGGTGCCGTGTATGTGGGTTCAGAACCTCTTACAAGTCACTGATGATTTTTCATCTCCGGCAGCACTTGAAACCTACGTATCGGTGTGACTTCTGTGACGTCGATCTGCCGGAAGGAGCGATTAGTTGGGTGGACGATCAGAGTGACATCACAAATATTGATCTTGTTGATGAGAATGGCATTGTAGAAATGCATGATGGAGTAGTACGACAAGAAAATGAAACTAATGAAAGTGGAATCAAAGAAGTAAATGATTCTGATATCATTACGTTACCTAAAAGCATGGACCAAATTATGAGTATAATGCCTGTCAGTATAGATAAAATAATATCACTGGAAGCTCTTGAAGGACCAGAAAGCACAGAAGATGCAGGTAGCCTTCCAGATAAGAACATTGTAAATAGCTTATCTTTGCATCACGTACAGTCCGTCAGTAACGTCAAACATGTTAGCGTGTTAGATGGAACTGGTATGATTGTGATGCAGGATGTAGGAAATGATAAGGAAAGTAAAGACAGTGAGATGTTTGTGTCTGAAAACCCCAAAGATACTTAGTTTTCCTCCCAAATTAGTTACTGACGGACAGCAGGCCTGACTGTACAGCCACATGCATTAGGTGATGAAAATAAATTGAATAAAAAATTTCTTGGATATTATCCATCGTATAGTAAATATAAAACGTAAAACGACGTTTCGGAGATGGGACTAGGAACCTGAAGACGGAGATAGAGTCCCATCTCCGAAACGTCGTTTTACGTTTTATATTTACTATACGATGGATAATATCCAAGAAATTTTTTATTCAATTTATTTTCATCACCTAATGCATGTGGCTGTACAGTCAGGCCTGCTGATAAAGTTCTCCGCATTTTGAATAAATGTGCCTTGTGGGCAGTGGTGACGGGAAGGAACGAGGGTTGAACATGAAACAAATAGGAAGTAGACACTTCAGAGTACTGAAGCAGAGATTGAAGTGGCTTCAGTCAAATCAACACAACAGTTACTAATTGACAACTTGAATAATGATGTGAATGAGTTGAGAGTGTTTCTATAATGACAGAAGATTGGATGCTTCCCTTGTAGATTATTCCTCTGAACTGAATGGAGAAGTGCTTTAAGCATGAAATAAAATGTTCATTTTAGTAGAAGCAAAAGGCGAAACAACTAGGTTCTGTAGCACAATTTTTTTTTTTTTTTTTAAATTAAATGACAGTAAAATCTGGGAACCACTTTTTTGGTATTTAACTAAGCTCAAACACCCTTACAGTCACGCTCGATTCACTCACTGTGGCGCGGGAAATTCTTTGAAAAGACGATCGTATTCTCGGCTTGTCAAAAGAGTAGCCCACTTTCTTTATGGAATCCTGTTGACCGATTGATATACTCTCAAGTCATTCGCACTGGTTATTAGTGTCTAATACAATGTTTATTTCAAATCAAAACTTGTATGCTGTGAACTTAACTCAAAATTAATACACCATACATTTTAGTAGTAGTTTCCTGTGCAGGCAAATATATTGTTTGTTATGTCATTATTTGGTTTCCTGATCTTCATCTGTGAAAAAATATTGTATTCCGTTGCTTGAAATTTACATTATATTTCTACTTGCATATTCTGCTTCCTCACATCCGAAGGCCCGGCCTCACAAAACACTCCTTTATCTTTCCAACTGTAGCATTGTGTGTTCCATCAGCTTGTGCATTTTATTGGCAGGTACAGTTCTTTGAATTTCGTCTGTACGTAAGTATGATTAAATATAAACTGAATCACTTACGTTTCTAGTGAATATCATTGGCTAGTTACTAGCAGTTTTACTTTGTATTCAAGACATTCAAATCTTGATCTGGAGACAATGCCAGGATTATATCCTAAATCTAACTACAAGAACTTGCAACTTCTCTCTAATTCATCATTAATTAATCATCCCATCATTTAATGCTATATAGTCTTAGCTACTGACAGTGATGATATTGACATTAGACAGTAACCAAAATTTTGGATATGTTACTACTCTGTACATTTTCGTGTAATTAAGTATAGGAGCACATTGAATTTTAAAGGTTTGTAATGTATATACTGATATCAGTAGATCCTTTATATTTTCATAATCAAACTGTCCACCTTTTGAGACTGAATATATGTCAGTTACTCATAAGCTACTAAAATCTATAATTTATTAAATTCAAACATTAATTTTTTTTTAAGGGTGATAGACCAATTTTTCACAAAAGTGATATAATGAAAGTGGTATATTTTCTGAAGGGTAAAAGTTATGAAACTCCTTGTTATGTAATTTTCTCAAGTATCTTGTTCCTTCTGCTCTTTTAGGTTTATGTAATTTTCTTTGCTCCATCTCTGAAAAAGAAATGAAATTTTGCTCCCATGTAAAGTAGTGAATAGAATTATTTAAAAATTTGTAAAGCTTAGTTTTATTGAGAGAAGAGAAAAAATTCTGAACTGAATGGTGGTAGCTTGTTCCTCAATTAATCTGATGTTAATTTTCATCATGAGTATCATTTACATGTTTTTAAGCAGCTGGACTTTGTCACATTTTAAAGTGTTTTATTATCTGTCATCTCTGACTTGGCACTTTTCTAGTCTCAGAGTAAATCCCCCCTCCACCTTTCCAAACCCCACCCTAACCAAAGAGTCATGATTACAAAGCATGTTTACAAGAGCTGGGAAGAAAGAAGGCAGTTGACCTTGAATTTGGTACAGTGAAAGTTCCTTTGTGAGTTACAAGAATTTAAAATTGTTTGTTCTTCTGTAAGTAATTTGCATCATGGTACACAGTTGAATGTTATTGTTTAAATAAACAGTGTCCTGACACACTTTTAAGTTGATTTCCACTGTCAGTCTCACATGTTAACAATATTCTTGCCTCTAGCAACATTTCTCATCCAAGGTTTTGGCCTCTAGATGCGTTCTCCTGGTTGTTTTGCTAGTGCTACTGCTATTGTTGAAATTATACAAATTAATTTAAATTCTTGAAGAATATTGTGTATCTAATTTTAGTTATCTTTAATATATAACAGTGTATGCAGAGATTTAGCATCAGTAGATTAGTAGGGGTGTGAAATAAGGCTTTCATTATTACTGTTTATCATGCATATTAGTAAAATATTGCGTGATGGAAGTGTATAAAAGTGCAGAAAAGTCCTTTGTAATATAATGTAGATTAGTAGGTATTAATCATATTTAAATAAGAATATGTATGATTAGTGGGTAAAACAGATTTCCATTTTATTACTGAAAAGTGAGTCTGTACAGATATGTCTCCTTAGTTGATGTAAACAGCCCAGTTTTAAAATGTCGAGGCTTCCCTAACAGAAAAGTTGTAGATTTGGATAGGTTATGTTCTGTTCCTGTGTGCTATATTCTGGCTGCTCTTATGGTTGCTTGATGGTTAATCTGTTTGCCTTTATTAAAATAGAACAAAATGTCAAGTGTTAGATAATCCCATCTTTCACTGTTATCAGACAGTGATAACAAATGTGCTTGGTAATGTAAGGGAGTGTGTTTCATATACAAATGCTGCTAGAAGGTCGCAGCCTGCAGTCTTGAACCTGTGCTTCTATCAGAACTGCTGTCAGAATGCCCAAACAGCTGAGCAGTGTAACATTTTACAATGGACAGAAAATGCCCATTGTAGGGCTGGGTACATGGCAGGTGAGTTACTGTAATCTGTAATGTAAGGAATTGTGACATTAATGCCATTTAAATGCTCTGAGTTTATTAGAAACTTATAAAACTTAACAGGGTCTGTTCTGTTGTCAGAAGCAAGCAATAACTCCATAAAGACATGGATTTGATTTTGCTTCTGTACACACTTAGAAGGCTTTGGATTTGAAATCATTGTTTGTAGTCTGCCCTAAATGCAGTGGCATTAGTTCAGTACCCAAGAATGTAAGAAACTTTCTCACAAAGGAACTTTGAATTTTGTTATTAATATTCAGACATTCTGCTCGTAACATGAGAGATTGGTTCATCTACTTGAAAATTCATGGTTGCCTTTCAGTTCATAGTAACTGTGGCTAAATACAATAGATTCAGTGCCCTTTACGTCTGCACTGTTAAAAAATTCATTTTTGTGGGGAGTGGGGCTACATTTACTCACTAGTTTCATGAAAGTGCTGGTGCAGTACTTTGAAGTAGGCCTTGGGTACTTTCCCCATTTTCTTGTATGTAATCATCCACGCATCTCAGTTGACGTTAATTTCCCCCCCCCCCCCAAGCTGATGTAATGTCATTACATAACCTATATATCAGTTATCAATCATTATGAAATGTGTAACACAGTGGAACATTAATTACTTCTGAATTATAAAAATCTGTGTTTGTATGTTATCTTATCTGTATTGTGTAAGTTGGGCAGAAACAGCAAAGATGGTAAGTACTTTGCTATGTCATGCTACACAAATAAGTTCTGATTTCTTCCACCAGAACTGATTTATAAACGTAATTTAACTTGCTTGAAAAGGCTTGTAACACTCAAAACTAAAATCAAAAAGAAAAATACGTTCAGACAAACTTAGACAAAATTTTGGTTTTGATTTGAGATTTTCGCTGTTGTGAATCCAAATATGGCTGTCTCCTGTCTGTAGGAGTTTACGAACGTTTCAGAGGTCCTTGCTGCCTCCATTATCAAGGTGATGAGTCATCACCATGATGATAGAGGCGTTACAACCCAGAAGACAGCAATGTTTTTGTTCTTTTCTTTTCCATACATATGCACCTCCACTTTTTCTCCCTCAATTTGATTTTGACTTCCAGTCACCACCTGAAGAAGTTAACGCTGCTCTGGATGCTGCCTTGGAACGTGGGTACAGACACATCGACACAGCCTATATGTACCAGAATGAAGCTGCTATCGGAGAAACTCTCAAGAAGTGGTTTGACTCTGGCAAACTTAAGAGAGAGGACATCTTCATTGTCACAAAGGTAGATGATACAGAAAAATACACGTGTAACATTTGTAATAATTTATCAGCCTATTTATCTCTATAATAAAAAAATAAAACTTTTTTTTTTTTGTATCTGCGCAGTCAGAAATATTGCATTTCACTCAAACCACACCAAAAACTTTAATCTTTACGACAAATGGACTTGCTGCGTTAGTTCACGGCCTGGTTATATATGTTCTTGTCCTTACCGTGTATTCGCTGTAATAGTATGTAAGTTTTGATGGCAAGGTTTTTTTTTTTTTTCCAGCTTCCACCAGATGGAAATCGCGCAGAATCTGTTGAGAAGTACATAAAAAGGTCACTGGCGTCTCTGCAGCTTGAGTATGTGGATTTATATTTGATTCACCTCCCTATCGGGTTTGAAGAAAAAGGAGATGATTTATGGCCAAAGGATGAGACTGGTGCGATGATTATTGACAGTTCAACAGACCTTATCAGTTTGTGGAAGGTAACGTAACTAACTAGATGCAGTAGAGCCACCCTTGGACAGCTAATAGTCTCACCTATCCAAGAAATTCTCGGTTCATGGCGATCGTCTGGGTTGTGATGACTTTTAGGTGGGTACAAATGTTTTGGAGGAACATACTGCCTCCATCTTTAGCCCTGTTCCTCTGAAACAGGGGTATCCACCTACAAGTACACTTTGCATCGCAAGCCAGATGATCACCAAGAACATTATTTCCCTTGAGAAACGCAGATCCCGTACAAGAAATTCCGTGTCTTTTATGGAACCGAAAGGTTCATTGCCGTGTTCATACAAACGTTCCACTGGTTTTATACTTCTGTTCAAACCTGTAATGTTAATCTCTTAGTGTTTATTTAAAAATCATTAATGCTGTTTTCCAGATGCCCTCTTTGTTCCAGAAGTTTCATTTATGTCGGGTCGGATTATCTCCATTCGTCTAGCGTAGATTCTCAACCAATTGAATTTAGCCTGCAATTTTGAATTAAGGTTTATGCTGCTGTAGAAGGTGAATGGAATAGGAGGCTGGGTGAGCCCCAGATCTGGTCTGTATGCAGAGGCTAGAAAGAAAATTCTTTGTCCCCGTCAAGGATCGAACCCCAATTGACTAGTCAAGTAAGACAGTGTGCTGACTTAAGCTGTCCTGGCTCATGTATGATTATTTAATTTTCTTTAATTTCATATTGACATGTAGGCCATGGAGGCACAAGTGGACGCTGGAAGAGCTCGCTCTATTGGTCTCTCCAACTTCAACTCGAGTCAGATCGCTCGCATCGTGAAGGCAGCTAGAATCAAACCAGCAAACCTGCAAATAGAGCTTAATGTATACTTCCAGCAGAGGGAGTTGGTGGCATTCTGCCGGGCCCTGGACATCACCGTGTGTGCTTACGCACCCATTGGGTCTCCTGGACTGGCCGCTGTCGCCAAACAAAGGGGGCAAGAATTACCAGAAAGGTAAACAGACGGCCGCGTCCTCGGACACGGCGCTGTCTCCTCCCCAGCCTTCGGAATTCTTCGTCCGCACGAACCCCGATCTTCCCTCCGACCGTCGTTCCTGCTACTACGGTGGCTTCCAATAGTAAACATAGAATTCAAAGTGGAATTTACTTTGTCTCGTTTTTGACATTTACTCTTACGTTATCAGAGCTTCCGGTCCATTCCGCGTAAGGAATTAAAAAGTTACAGGAAGATTTCACTGTTTTTAGTCTGCCGTGTTTACAAAAATGATCTCATGTGCCAAATTGTATGTTTCAGCGCAAAGTTTGATCTTCTGAAGGATCCTGTAGTGGTGGAAATAGCCAAGCGTCATAACAAGACTCCAGTGCAAGTGCTTTTACGCCACTGCATGCAGAGGGACATAGTAGTAATACCCAAGAGCACTAATCCTCGTCGAATAAAGGAGAACTTCGAGGTAGTGATGGAAATTTGTAGGCTAACTAGCAGTTTAATTGGGAAGCGTTATGGTTCGAGTCAAGTTTAGGAATTTAGTGGCGTCCGCAGTGGCCGCGCGGTCTGAGGCGCGGGCCTTGTGCCGCTCGGTCGCTGGGACCGTGGGTTCGAATCTCACTCAAGCCACGGATGTTTGTCCGCGTTGTCCTGTGTACAGGTAGAGGCCTTGTGACGGGCCGATCCCTCGTCCAAGGAGTCCTACCAAAATGTCTGCAGATCGAGCCAACGCAAAAGTTGGGACCCCGCAGATGCTCAGGCGCTCGAAGAACGGGTCGTCCCAGTTAGGAATTTAGTCGGCTGTACAAAAGTAATTTCTGGTATGGGCGTTTATTAGTGATTCATGCAAGAGCCGTTCGTGGTGGAAGGAAAGCAGATTTATTCATACACGAGATCTGAGGTTCTTGCTGGAGCGAAGATGTTTGTCTTCTGGATTGTAACGCCATGTGGACTCTTAAGCATTATTTCCAGATGTTTGAATTATGACGCTCCGAATGTCTTTCTTGTTGCTCGACATTTTCCTTTACTATCTTAAAATTATGTAACGTGTACGTGTTTATTATAGCTGAAAATGTTTTAAGCCGTTTTTCAAAACATTTCATAAGAAAATGCAGCGTTCGTAATGAAGAACGACATTTCTGCTTCAGGTCTTCGACTTTGAGTTGACAAAAGAGGAGGTGGAAAAATTGGATTCGCTGGACAAACGATTCGCCGGACGCAGATTTCTGATGGACACATATAAAAGGTGAGTTTCAGGAGATGAATAAAGTGCCTGTTCGTCGTCGCGCTTCCCTCTAAGGCGAGTTTTGATCGCAATTTTAGTTTGTCCTTCAAGCCATTTCTGGTATATTACTTTAAAGTAGACCGTAACTACTTTTCCTCCGGTCCCTCACAACTATCATCGTACATTGTAGTGATTTTATGATGATAATGATGATTTCCAAGATTTTTCTGTGGATTGTAGTTGCGTTTCTTCTCCCCAGGCTTAATGAACATCCAGAATACCCTTATGCCGACCCCTACTAGGTCAACGCTCCAGATTCTGCTCTTGTCAATGGACAGCTTCATTTTGGTGGATGAGTCGGCAGTGCAGACAGAGACATCGCTCTTTGGTACGAAGGTTCGTCATGAATACCAAACCCTACCATTCGCTATAACCTGGAAACATTTCTGTTCACCTTCAGTACTCCAAGCAAACTCTCCTTTTAAGTCTATTAATTTTATCCTTCCATATCCGCGGCCTTGCAAGTGAAATTGTACCAAGGGGTTTCCCCACCAAAATTACTGTATGCACTTCATGTGTCCTCCAAGTAGTCACATGCCCACTTCATTATTAGTAATGCTTTTTGATGTATTTTTTATGTGCGTATTCTCCTGGAATTGTAATGTAAATTAGAAAAAAATAAATTACATTTCTTCCTGCTAAATGACTTTTATTTTTACGTGACTTCTAGCGTAGCTGTCGCAGAAGACGTCAGTGTCTTAAAATGGAGGCTCGACTCTGACCCTTTGACATGTGTGTCAGATTTTTTTTCATTGTCGTTCAACATCCCTGAGGTATTTGATGGATCTGACGAACATGTGCTCCTAATATAACAGCCATTGTCCGTCATGCTTGATTGGATAAGTGCGCTGAAAAAATTGAAATGAATTTTTCAAAGTGGCAATCTGATTTGCTGCACTCTGCCTTGATTTATTTTGACGTAAACCACCGTAAGAAATCAAACAGCACATGGAGCATGTACGAATAATACCATACGACTATCCTTTTAAAAGTCCAGTGGTAACTATATGTACCACCTGCTCCAACAGTCAGTAAATCTGCTTTTCGTATATACGGATTTCACTTCATTCTCCTTGTAAACAGCGATTATCTCCTTAAACAGCGTTAACCACTCGATCTTTGTAATGGTGAAGCGTGGTGTTTTCTTCGCGGTACGGACTGAATTCTTAAATATTATTTACATGCCTACGCACTGTATCTATGAGTTTCGTGTGATTCTCGTTGTAAACAGCGATCATTTCCTTAAACAGCGTTAACCACTCGATCTTTGTAATGGTGAAGCGTGGTGTTTTCTTCGCGGTACGGACTGAATTCTTAAATATTATTTAGATGCCTACGCACTGTATCTATGAGTCTCTTATGATTCTCACTGCAAACGTCGATTATCTCCTTAAACAGCGTTAACCATTTGATCTTTGTAATGGTGAAATGTCGTGTTTTCTTCGCGGTACGGACTGAATTCTTGTATACCCATGCGTGTCAAATGTCTCGCAGCCAAGTTTATCATTATTTATTTAATCTCCCTGACACCATTATGTGATCGACAGATAGTGGGAAGCCTATCATTATGCAAGACTAAGCAGTGATTATATATTTTAACAAACAAACAAAGACCTCTTTTCTCTTCCTGATGATGACTATGCTACTATGAACGACTTTCAACTTTCTACACGGAATTTCATGTTCTAGCAAAATTCCTCGCGTAAAATATATGTTCACGTACCATGTTCATTAACAATAAGTTACATAAACACAATTTATTTCCTCGCGTTGTTCTGATTAACTCGGTGAGATAAAGCGAGCCACTGCGGACTGGAAAGTGAGGGGATTAGTGGTCTCGTTCGATTCTCGCGTTTTACGATACACGAGATCTGAACACGTGAAACAACGACTGGACTTAATGTGATTGAGCACAAAGTTCCAAAGAAAAAACTAATGCAGAGGAAGTAAGAGGAATACGGAGAGAGAGGTAAATAATGAGTAACTTCCTACTTTGCGTCCTTCTGTTGGTGTGACAGATGAACTGCGCTCCGGACACTTAAAAGTTTTCACTTGCTTTATTCATCTTCTGACTGTGCGCATTACGACCTGCAGACTTTTACCAACTCTTGGTCACTTTTGATCACTTCCTAGACAACTGAACGATGACCACATGTTCGCCGATTTAAAACATCAAGTAACTTCCTTTTCATGAAGGTATTGTCCTATTTTTGCAGGAAGTTAACTTTAACGAAATGTGTAATGGATTTCATCAAAACCATCTTGAGAGAAGGGACTGCCAGAGGTTAAAAATTTCTCCAGATCCAACAAGGTCGAATCGACTTATCGAATCGCTGGTGGCAACTTTATTGGAGTCTGTTTATCGAAGAGCCATTGGTATTTGCTGGTCTAGCGGTTAGAACGCTGGCCTTGTAATCCTGGGGTCTCGGGTTCGATGCCCGAATTTATAACTTATGTTGGGCAAGGCCGTGGTCTAGGTAACATGGAGTTTTCCTCCGGGGCATCCCAACAATTACTCTATTCACACACAGAAGAAGGCAATGGCAAACCACTTCTGGATCATCTGCCAAGAACGTATATGAACAGGTCCCAGTCCGAGAAAAGGATGGAAGGATCCTGTTCATATAGACCTGTCGTCAGACAGAACACTAAATAATAATAAGATGAGGGGGTCTAGCGGTTAGAACGCTGGCCTTATAATCCTGGGGTCTCGGGTTCGATTCCCGGCGGTGCCCCAATTTATAACTTGTGTTGGGCAAGGCCGTGGGCTAGGCAACACGGAGTTTTCCTCCGGGGGCTTCCCCGGTTTCTCTGTGGCATCCCAACAATTACTCCATTCACACACAGAAGCAGGCAATGGCAAACCACTTCTGGATCATCTGCCAAGAACGTATATGAACAGGTCCCAGTCCGAGAAAAGGATGGAAGGATCCTGTTCATATGGACCTGTCCTCAGACAGAACACTAAATAAATAAAATAAATACTCACATATTTATTATTTTCCTTCGAAGATAACTGTTTTCTGGGATGTTGCGCCGTGCAGTCTGGTAGCCTACGATTCGAAGGTGCTTTCTGCTACCTGATGATGTACAGTCGACGTTTCTTACTCGTCGCCGTGTGAACTTTGTTTCATACCTTCCTGTAACACTACTACTACCGACGACTGAAGTCGATCACGTGGAGTGCATTAGTGTAGCGATGGTACAGTGATTCAGAGTTAGCTTTGTCGCTCGTCTGATCGTATCGAACAAAAGTTGATTACAAGTTCCTTAGCTGACGAAATCTCATCGGTTTGCAAGTTTATGGTCCGAGATTTGGCAATTAAGGTCATGTTAGTGGGCACAGTGAAAACACTGCGAGTCGAGGGAAGGTTCAGTGGTCCACTTCTTGGGTCCTCTTGATCACTTTCACACAGGATGCAACTCTATGCAGCCTCCAGGACATAGAACGCATGGCTGTTCCTCGTAAACTTTCAGCTGGCGCCAAAGGGCAACGAACTCATTTCAAGTTGACACTCGATCGCTTTTTGTTTCGATTTAACACCGGACATCAATGTGCAGCCATTTTATTAAGTATTTTCGTTCATATTGAGTAACATGCATTAAATTTAAAAATTAGTGGTAACTATATTCACCACCTTCAGTCAGTAATTCTTTACCACAACAGCGTATTTATGGGTTACGTAACATTCTGAGCGTAAACAGCAATTATTTCCTTAACGTGCATCAACCAATTCATTTTTGTAATGGTCACGCGTTGTGTTTTCTTTGCGGTACGTGTTGAATTTTTAAATATTACGTAGATTAACTTTGGCTTCAGAGGTTAATGCTGTCTGTAGGAGGTAGGACGTTGAGCTTCCGTCTTCTAAGACTCCAGTTCTCCCCTCCAGAATTGCCGATAAGAGTGAGCCAACGGTGATCCTGCCACTCAGTTCTCGAGCGGAGCTGCCAGGAGTAACACGTAGAGCGCGGGTTGAAGTGAATGTTCGCTTACGGGACCGTGAGGTCGTTTCTCACATGTCGTAGTTTGTTTATAGAAGAGTACGTCTTTGTGTATTTGAGAGGTGGCATGCGTGAGTGGTGAAAATGTTGGTATTTGCGTCTAGGCATGATCTTGCCATGCCGGTTCTTGATAAGCCACGTGTTATCTCAGAGATCAAGAAGAACAACAAACATTGTCGTCGCGAATTGAAGAGTAAAGCCAGAATCTCAGGTTGGTGAAGTCTAAAATGAGTCTAAGTTGATGTTTGTGAGTCTGAGAGTCGCTTTTGAATTCTTGATCGACTGATTAATTCATTCTTGGTTTATTTCGATAAGATTTTCAGAATTTATTTATAGGATGACGGGTGAATTATGAATTTGGTGGGATGTGGAAGGAAGCGGTCTCTGTGTGTTTCTGAAAGTGATACGCCTGGCAACAATTTAGGAGAATTACGAAAATCCTCAGTTAGGATAACCGACGTCCGTGGCCTGTAATTTTAACCCAGGTTCCTCCGAACACGAAATAGAACCGTGAGTTTGGTAAATCTGGATCCGTAGGGGAGAAACACTTATTTATTTCTTTAAAGTCGACCGAATTCACTGGTTATGCGTAACTGTGAACACATCGAACAATCCAGACAAAAAGATACTGATCGTGACATTTATTTTACGCAAGACGTAATAGTTACACCTCCATGTCTCGATCGTCAGAGCCTCGTTTGTGAAGATTATGTCATATGAAAGTGGAGTTTGGGTGTTTTGTTGTTCCATCCTGCCGTATAAAACGATACATTCATTAATATCTTAAATGATACTGCCGAATGACCCTTCCGTATAGACGTATTTACGTCAAAATCGGTTAAATGAGAGCAGACTACAATGAAATCGCTAAGCGACCCGAGTCTGTCCCGGGAAGTGGACAATGCATGACTTCGTAGTGATATAATTGTTAATGAGTTTAGGTGGGGGAATTCCCAAAATGAGCTGCTAAAATATTTTGCGTGGAATCGCGGATCACTGGCAGTTTGTAGAACGCGCAACTGGTGTCACAAGTCTGACCGACGGATCACTCGAGGCGCTGAACACCGTCCGGGGTCATGGGCCATCGTTTGGAGTCGTACAGTCGCAAGATAGTGAGTGCATCTAGTCTCTGTCGACCACATACGAGCAAGTCGCTTGTTCATATGCATTAACTTCTGCTAAATAATTAAATTATAGGCATCGGTGTTGTATCTTTTCGATGGGTGCTTGGCCGAGACAGAAATCTTTGATGGAAACTCTGTCTTGCAATCACAGGAAATGTAACTTCTGGTAACAATGGGAGGGGGGGGGGAAATGCCCGCGGGCGTGTATTCATGCCCCACGCTTAATTCAAATGTTCGAGCCGACACTGTAATTTGTTGTGATGGAACAGTAAACAGGACATACGTACAAAAGTGAAATGCGTAAGAAGAAATTTCACCCATCACTGAACGCGAAATCAGCGCTGACTCCTGCTTTTGTATAACTTGTCCGACGAAGGAATGCTCGTGTCGACTTCAGCAATCGATGATTTGTTGCCAGGCACCGGAAGACGCTACACTGAACGTGTACCTCTCAGTTTACCTTCTTTCCTCCCCTGAAGCTCCCAATTGCAGATTAAAACAAGCTCTAACGTGTTTAAAGAAAAGTGAACTTAATTATTCGGTTTTTGTCCGTCTAATCACAATTCATATTTAAAATTTACAATTAAGATAATTAAAATATCATTTTATGTTCCTCATCGAACAATCGATGTTCCAATTGTAAATCGATTGTTCGATGAGGAACACAAAATGATATTTTAATTATCTTAATTGTAAATTTTAAATATGAATTGTGATTAGACGGACAAAAACCGAATAATTAAGTTCACTTTTCTTTAAACACGTTAGAGCTTGTTTTAATCTGACTTGCTCGGACAAGATATAACTTCGATCCACGACGACTTTCTTCTCGCTGTTAGGCCGACGGGGACAACTATAAAGAAATTCTTGTGATTCACAGCCCATTGAATTAGAAAATTAATCCTCTCTTAACTCAATGCGAGCCGTTTCATAGGTTGGTACCACTGCGTTATGCAATTTTGCTTTGTTTTCTATAGGGGGAGTAATACAGAATAATTTTAAACGCTATATACGCATAAAAACGTTAAAGTGTGTTTAAAAATCATTACCTAACCTAACTGTTGTGTTGTCTTTCTCTCTCTGCTGCACCGTCTAACGGAATTATTGAGTAAAGGTACATCCCTGCTAGGGATCTAGGGGGCGTCTATGATATGGATGTAGTTAAATATATTCGGTCACTTGCGGCAAACTGTGTGACCTTAAAGGTCATAAATAAGCTGACAAACATATAAGAAGTCTAGTGAAACAAATGTTTTTTATACGGCAGTCAGCAGCCAATCAGCGTTCGCGTTGTCATGAAGCACAGACGCCCATTGTCGTTATCAGGATTGCGACGGTTGTATTTCCGGAGTGAACTCAGAACTGAGCTTGTCTAAAACATCTTGTCGTATAAACTGCACTGCTGTAACATAACCACAAACTCCAACAATGGTAGCCAACCGTTGTGCAAAGGTCAGAGTCCGCTTGGAAATTTTAGTTTATTCTTTGAAACCTAAGCTCGTCTTAATCTTATGAAAACATTAAACCTCAGAGAAAATGCGACTAATAATCATTACAAAGATCGTTTGGTTGATGAGGAAATAATCGCTGATTACTCGTGAGAATATTATGAAACAGAAAAATAAACGTTTTTGGACAAAACTCAGAAAAAATGATTGTTGATGTGGGTGGTACATTAGCGGACTTGTGTTTCATTGGGAATGAGACGTGTGCTGTTATCAGTTGTGGTATGATGTGGTTGCCTTCAGGCATTCGAATTTGATCCCAGAACATTCCGGAAGTAAGATAATCGTATTGGATTCAATTACATTGTCTGTGACGCTCACGTCAACAATGTCTTTTTTTAAAATGTACAGACGAAATAATATTCGAACCATCGCCATAATCTTCATGTTCTCACCTGTGTTTATTCCATTTCTTTTAAATGTTCTTTCTTTCTCTCTGGACGACTCGTAACACGAAGGATGTGGGATGACACTTCGTATTAATTGGGCCGCGACCAGAAATGGCGGATGCATTGCTGTTCCGTTGTGAAAGTTTTGTCGCTTGTTAAATTGGAGAAATACACGAGGAATCATTACTGTGGATGATGGAAGATTTCTGTCGGTGCTGTCTGCCTCACTGCCCCATAATTTAACTGCACTCGCACAGAGATTGTAATTTGTAACTTGTCATAAAACTGTTGTTTCGCTAAAGCCGCATCTCATTTATAGAGTCAGGTGACATTTGTGAGTCATTACGACGCCAGTACGCACTTAAAATACAAGCGACAGTTTCCCAATGTTTTAAATAACAAATGTGTTTAATCGTTTCCGTGCTATGAACGAGATAATTCGTTAAACCGCTGACCTCTTCTCCAGTACGCAACATCGGTAAATATTTAATAAATATAAAACAAATGAAGTCCTACAATTGAGGCTAACAATTGATTGAACTTTTGTGAAGTGTAATGGACATATACAGCCACGGTGGTCTAGCGGTTAGAACGCTGGCCTTGTAATCCTGGGGTCACGAGTTCGATTCCCGGCGGTGCCCGAATTTATAACTTGTGTTGGGCAAGGCCGTGGTCTAGGCAACACGGAGTTTTCCTCCGTGGCATCCCAACAATTACTCCATTCACACACAGAAGAAGGCAATGGCAAACCACTTATGGATCATCTGCCAAGAACGTATATGAACAGGTCCCAGACCGAGAAAATGATGGAAGGATCCTGTTCATATGGACATGTCGTCAGACAGAACACTAAATAAAAAAAAAATTACAAGTGGCGCTATTATCGGTGCCAGAATATTGCAGGAAATTTCTAAAGTGCGATTTTAGGGTCGTTCAAAATGACATAAACTTTGTACCAAATTTCATCCAAATCCATCCAACGGTTCTCGAGGTAAATCACGTGGACGGAGAGACAGACATGACAGACCTGTTGATTATACGTATATAATAGATACATGCGGCTTTTACCAGACAAAGGGACACGTCTTAGAATCGTTCTCTCCTGGGATTTTGCGCCGTGTAATCTGGTAGGTGGTGACCGATGTGTCAGAGGTTCGTTTGCGACCGTAATCTTGAGATTTGTGGGGTGAAGGCGGAAAGATAGCGCCTGCTATCCTCGGCCCAGCCTTTAACGCTTCGGACTTCCTGCATTCCTTGCAGGTCTTAAGATTAAAGTCGTGAAAAGTATCTCCATCTCTCAACATCCCAGAAGACGTGAGAACCTCCAGTCTCGCCACACTGTGTTCCACACAATGTAGCGAGCAAGCCTTCTAATATCTCAGAATGCCAAGTGGAACGCGACATTTTCTCATTTCGAAACAAATTACGTATGTTGAAGGTACCTGTAATTCATATCCTGTTCTGCTCTTATGCTATGACTCGATGTTGAGACTTTGGTTGAAGTTGAAGCGCCATTTTGAAACAGGCTTGCCACATTTTGAGTTTACTGATTTTTGAAAAAAGAAAATTTCGGGGCGTGTTTTTGTAAAATATGAAATAACAAGACGGGGATTATAAACAGCTTTGGCTCCGAGTGTATTTAGCGTAAAGAGTGATGTTAACTCATCGCATGACAGTGCATGATAACGGGACGTGTGGCAATTAGTAACAACGCTCGGCCAGTAACGCTGTTGGCGTGATACCAACTTACACTTTGATTCACATGGCCGGTAACTCCGTTATTGCGGGGAGGAACAACAGTGGAAGTGGGTGGCTTCTCCGATACATGAAGAAAGAACTGGGGTTGCTATGGCAACAAGACGCAATCATCTTGTCTGAAGTGTTTCCTCTGTTACAATATTATCTCTGACGAGGAAAATTAAAATTTTTTGTGTAGGATTCTGCGAGACTTGTGCGTGGAGATAATTGACTTCAATTTATTTCCACGGACAAATTAAGCATGTTCCACTCATGCTCAGTGCGACGCGCGTCACCAAACCAGGCATTCTTTCCGAATTAAACTTCTTCCTTACACAGGGCATCTGTGTGCCTCGCGTTGGATTCGAACCGGCGACTTGAATGTTCGATCGAGCAACGACCGCTGAAAGGTTTGTTTTAGGCGTTCTTTACACATTAACGCTCGTGAAGAACGCC